GCAGGCAGCGGCGGAGCTAGCTGCTCAGGTGCCTGGTGTGGGGGCATGTCCTGCAGCTGGGGGCGGGGCAATCCGTGCCCATGGGGGCGGGGCGAACCTCTCCGCCACCTCCCTCTCAGCTGTAGGGCGGCTGAGGGAGAGGTAGTCGGCAGACGCAAGTCCCAAGCTGCAGTTTTAGGCAGCACAGAACCTGCAGGCGCCTAAGCCGCCACATCACTCCTAAAAAGTGAGCCCATTTTTTTTAAGCTCATTTTGTCACCCCCCTCAGTGATGGCACCTGCGGCAAACCGCATCCCCCCCGCACCCCCTTCCTCCACCACTGTCTGCAGGTAGGGCTACCTGAAATCCTGGGAAGCTGCTGCCAGTCCGTGTAGACAGTACTGAGCAAGATGGAGCAATGGTCTCTGACCTAAGTCCGTTTCCCACGTTCCTAGGAGGGGCCCCCAGTGCAGCAGGGCTACATTGCCACATTTCAAAGTGAATTAATACACATTTTCATCCAAAAGGGTTGAGACCTCCAGAGGTCCATGAAGTCCAAAGTTAAAGATCACCTAATTGCACCACTTGTCCTATTAATAAATGTACAAAGAGAAAAAGTTAAAAAATAAAATAAAAGCCATCCATAGTTTTATCTGTCTACATTCTTTATAGGTGATGAGTCCCACCCAGCCCTAATCCAGGAAGGTTTCACCACATACCTGGCTATGTAAACTGAATGTGCTTCTGTAGTGTGAGTCTCCTGCAACTTGTGGCAGAAATGGTTGACATTTCATGTTTGTGTTAACAGTGGGCCAGGAGCACAGCTGGGGCACCAGGCTACAAATGCTCTTAAAAATAAAATTCAATAATTTTTAATACTACTCCTCTAATTTTAATTACCATTAGAATCCTGTAAAATGGTTATCATCACTAATTATAATCCATATCCAGTTAACTTTGATAAACTATATATAACACAATGGGCAGCAGTCAACTAAGTTTTACTCAAAGTAGTCCTATTGAAATTAATGCTCCTAACTTCTTTGATTTCAATGGATCTGTTCTGAGTAAAATTTGACTGACTGCCACCTATATTACCTAAGTGCCCTATTGTATGGTTGGTCCAGAATACCATAGGTAGCACCTTTTCCATTTGGTACCACTATGGGCGTTTTGATTAACTGCTCAGCACTTGCTTCAATATGTGTTCCATGAATTATATGAATTGTCTGTGCACATCTGGAGCTGAGCCTTTGCTGTTGTTAATCACAGATTCTGGAACCTCTTCCAAAGATAGGTCTACTATACCACATTACATAGCAGCATCCTTTGCTGCATTTTTAGGAGTAATTTCGGAAGCAGCAGTTGTTACAGCGATTTGTGACAATTCTTTTGCTTGATGAAGTGGGTGGTTTTATATGGCATTTTTTTGTTATTTTAAGCTGCTTTGAGACTTGGGAGAAGAGACGAAACATATAAATATATTTGAGCTCACTGCTTGACAGTCACATGCGGTATTTAAATTGTTAGAGTACTTTCTGATGAGCTACAAACCATGTAGCCCATAATGTTTATATTACAAGACACTTACCGTATTTTTCGCTCTATAGGACGCACTTTTTCCCCTTCAAAAATTAAGGGGAAATGTGTGTGCGTCCTATGGAGTGAATGCAGGCTCCTTGGCTTCAGCGATAGCAACGCGAAGCCTGAAGCCTAGAGAGCGAGAGGGGTCGGTGCGCACCGACCCCTCTTGCTCTCCAGGCTTCAGGGATAGCTGCCTGAAGCCTCCGGAGCACAACGGGAACTCGCGCTGCGCTCCAAAGGCTTTGGGTTCCTTTTGCTGAAGCCAGGAGAGCAAGACTCTCCTGGCTTCAGCAGAGAGGGAGAGCTGTGCAGCGCCCCTTCAGCCAGGCGGGAGGAGAAATGGAAGGGGCTCCGTTTCTCCTGCTGCTTTGCTGAAGGGGCGCTGAGCAGAGACGGGGAGAATTTTTTTTCTTGTTCTCCCCCTCTAAAACAATGTGCGTCCTATGGTCCGGTGCGTCCTATAGAGCGGAAAATACGGTATATTGCTAGTAGAAAAAAGCCTGAAATATGATACTTGTACACCTCTTCCCTAAAATGGGGGGTCAATATGCACTTCAGAATGGTTGTTACATCAGGGCCACCCAGCAGGCTTTAATAGAGGATGCATGTTGCCCAAAATATGGTAATTGCTATAAAAGTATGAAAGGAAGACATTTGTAAGCTCAGAATCCATAGAATTGTGAAGGAAGATTGTCACATTACTTCTTGATCACCAGAAAACTGAATTTGGTGCACATACAGCCCAAGAAGCAGTCATTATTAGACAGTTTTACATTCATCCATAAAGACATGGCAGATAATGTTCACTTCAAATCAAGCAACATTTGAAGCGGAAGGACTCTCATGTCATTTTCAACGGGAGCAGCAGTTGCGGCTCAGGGCTGCTAGCCACCAGGCAGAGGTGGCTTCTGATTCCCACATGGTCAGTGGGGGGCATCATGTCCTCCCTCACCAGCTGTGGGGGCTGACAGCGCCTACCTGTGACTGGTCCAACCTGATGGGTGGGACCTAGGTAGTGAGCCTAAAGGCAGATTTCCCCATTGGACTTCAACCAGGTCTGTTCCCCAGGTTTAAAATGGGGCCACAGTTGTCCGCAGTGCCTCAGTCAGAGTTGGATCTCCCACCCTCCCACCCCTTACAGCATGTTTTTCCCTGCACAAAGTTGAGAGGGCGGTCATGCTTAGGGCCTTGCTTTGAAAACATTCCTCTGGGCAAATTGGCCCTTTCTGGGGGGGTTTCTTCCTTATAGCAATTGTCACAACTTGCTAGTACATAAGGGTTGGATCCTTAGTCAGGAGGGAGAGAGGCACACCCCTCCAAAATATGGGGTTCCCCATTAATGGGGTCCAGGGGTGGTTCATTTGTCTGGATGCCCAGACTGGGGGCCGATGGGCCATAGCACCTGCCTGAGGTGGTGAACTTGGAGGGGTCACCTTGATTTGATATATGTCATAGGGCAACACCTAACTCAGGATCAACCCTGCCAAGCAATCAACCAGCAGTGGCTTGGATGATTCAGGATACACGTCTAATGCCTGCACCAAAACCTACTGCCATCTGAAATCAATAAAGCTGTGGCCTGTTTTGATCTCAATATGCTTGTCTTGTGTTTATTACATCCTTCAAGCCCAGCCCTGCTGGCACCAGGTTTCTTTGTCCACTCAGAGTTCATTTTAGGCGTTGGGAACTTTCAGTTGCAGCAAAGAATGCAGCGCTCTTCAGGTGCAGCCCTCATCTGTCCTGCCAATGCAGAGGGTTCCAGACTATCTAGGGTGCCCATGTGCCCTACTCTACAGAGCACAGCTGTCAGGAGTGCATCAAACTAGGAAAAAGGGTCATGAAAACCTTACTCTTGCTTTGCCTTTTGCAAAAAAAAAAAAATCACTTAGCAATAATTGGATTAACTGCATTGGCCACTGTACAATGGTCTCTTTGCCTTTTGCAAATGATGGAGACATGCCTTTGAATTATGACATTGACTTATTCCGATGGAAACACAATTTCTTCTTCTTTCATCTCAGGAGGAATGAACCCATTTAGCACTTTAAGATTATATGTTGCAAATGTATATCTGGAAAGTAATCCATGAATATGTTGCTTCTTTGGAAGAAATGCCATTCCTATAGAGTGTTTACCTTCAAGTCTGTTATTTCCCCCTAGGCCTTAACTGTAACCTGTAACATTCTCTCTCTTTTTCCCTTCAAAATAACTGTGTGAAGATAACAGCCACGTTGACAGGTTGTGATAATAGGGCTTTAGGGCTTGTTATCTTCAGAAGGTACTAATCCTGTTAGTGCACAGATTAAAGGTTTGGGGAAAATTGATAAATCACACAGGATACAAATCTGAAGGCTGTACATTTTTATAGAGCACTGGTTTGCTCTTTGGTGAACATGGAGAGATGAAAAAGAAATAGCAGGCCTGCTCATTATTCACAGCAGGATGTTGGCTGCTTGGCACATTTACTTGGAAACAGGTCCTATTGGTTTCAGCGGGACTTACTTTGGTGTAAGTGACTGGGGTAAGGATCACAGGCTACACCCTAAGGCTTTTGTCTGTCAAAAATGTAGCAGCAGGTGCACGTGTAAGAGAACAACGGGTTGCCATTTTGTGATGACGGTATCATATGGTTCAACTGCCCCCATGAGATCAAAGCAGATCTTACCATATCGAGTCTCCTCCATCATTTCAGAAATGAAAATAGAGATAGACAAATGTGTGTGTTTTTTAAAATTATATTCTACCTTTCGTCACCAGAGCTAACAAAAATGTATTTAAATGAAAGAGCACAATTCTGTCTATTAAGGCAGAAGATAACCTGCTGCAGTGGAAACAGAAACATAAATATTTTGAAATATTTCCAGTAGCATTTCAAAACACATATGATTTAGTAAAAGGAGCATCTTCAGATACTCTGAACACAGAGCCTTTAGGATTTTGAAACAAACTGGGAAGCTCTATAAGGAGCAGCCTGTGAAAGCCTCACTCCCCCCACCCCCAGCTAGGAGGCTGGATGCTGCATTCTGGCCCAATTGTAGGTTCTGGTTGCTCTTCAAAGGAGGCTCCACAGAGAGTAAATTACAGTAAAGTGATCTTAATACTGGATACTAGTTATGTAATGTAATCAGCCAAACTAGAGTCTTCTGAAAGTCATATAGTTGTTCATCTCTTTGACATCTGCGGGGGCCATTCCACAGGGCTGGCGTGACTACCGAGAAGGCCCTCTGCCAGGTTCTCTGTAATCTCACTTCTCACAGCGAGGGAACCGCCAGAAGGCCCTCGGAGCTGGACTTCAGTGTCTGGGCAGAACGATGGGGGTGGAGACGCTCCTTCAGGTATACTGGGCCGAGGCCGTTTAGGGCTTTAAAGGTCAGCACCACCACCAATAATGCCTGGGTTTTTTTGGTTGATTTGTTTCAGCTGTAAAGTTTGGAAGAATGTCCAAAAAGCAGAGGGACAGCTTGTACGCCGAGGTACAGAAGCATCAACAGCGACTGCAGGAGCAACGGCAGCAGCAAAGTGGCGAGGCTGAAGCCTTGGCCCGAGTCTACAGCAACAGCATCACCAATGGCTTGAGCAACCTAAACAATGAAACTGGTGGCACTTATTCAAACGGGCACGTCATTGACCTGCCAAAGTCCGAAGGCTATTACAATGTGGATTCTGCCCAGCCCTCCCCAGATCAGTCTGGCTTAGACATGACTGGAATCAAACAGATCAAGCAGGAACCTATCTATGACCTCACTTCAGTACCAAACTTGTTTACCTATAGCTCTTGCAACAATGGGCAATTAGCTCCTGGGATAACCGTGGCAGAAATAGGTAAGAAAAGTCTATCTTTAACTTCTCATAATGACTCTGTGTGCTTGTATTTCTAACCGTGCAGTTTCCTTTGGAATGGATTGGTCCTGAGGCATATGTATGACTGGGTTTGTTGTGGATTCAGTTAACAGAATTCTAAAATGTTTACATTGCGTAAATGTAGCAATTCATGATCTGTTTATGAAGCTGAAACACCAGAGCCACTGATGAATCAATCAAGTGATAATTACTAAATAGGGAGCTTGTATCAAACGAGCTCATTATCAGGAGGGCTTTAATGATCTTTTTGACAACTATACACATTCTTGTCAACAAAGAGCTCTGAAGGTGGATCATTAATAGAACTCACTCTTAAATTAATTACAATGCACAACATCATTGTTTGATCTTGCACTGAACACTCTGGATTTATACCAGTAAAACTGCATTCCGGATCTCGAATAGATGGGTTCATACTGTCTTTGTAAACTCTTTGGAAGATGTGGTTTCATGTGTTGGGGTATCATTTATCCAACTTTGATGGTGATGATTGATAACCTTGTTGTTAGGTGTCTTGCATAGCAAGAAAAGTGATGTTTTCCTGGTGAGCAATGTTTGGTTCATACCCATAAGAAGTGTTTTAATTACAGAAACCAACCAGTTGTTTACCTTGCTTTCAGGTGATACATATTGTACTGATATCTATGGCAGAGTTTCTCTTGTATTTTTTAAACTTATCCTCCCTTAAAGTCCCTTTAATTTAAGGGTAATGCATACAAACCAGCGGCCACAGAAGAGCTGCTTGAACTTGCTGTTCATTGAAATGTCCAAGACACCAAGGCAACAGCTGAAATATTTAGTTCTTCAGCACCTTTCCTTAAAAGGCTGAAAGCAGTGTACATATAATTAAATATATATATTAAAAATGTACATATATTAAAAGGCAAAAAGAACCTAAATATTCCACTCCCAAAAGTGCTAAGAAACTGAAGGAATGAGAAGCCTTGACCTGGCCATAGAAGTTGTATAAAGGTGCTGTCAGGCAAGTCCACCAGGGAAGAAAGACTGTTCAACCAGTATGGATTGCCACAGACAAAACCATGCAGTGCGCAACCATGGAAAGGGGGATTTAATTAGTTTGAACTTTAAAATATAATACATTGAGGGAAGAGGTAGACCATGTTTTATGGGCTGTGGCATTGGTGATGAAGCCCATGAACCAGCTTCTTCCCTTTAGAGGGAGATAAAAGGGGTAGAAAGCACTGGAAATGAATTCAGGTTTGGTTTAGCCAGTCCTTCTGTGGATCTCGTGTCTTTCCTGTTCCCTAGAAGTTGGCAGTGCAGTCCAGTTTCTGAGCTCTTTCCTACAGAGATAAGGGTCAGTAAGGTACTAAGAAGGGATGTGGGTGGTGCTGTGGGTTAAACCACAGAGCCTAGGACTTGCCAATCAGAAGGTCGGTGGTTCAAATCCCCATGATGGGGTGAGCTCCCATTGCTCGGCCCCTGCTCCTGCCAACCTAGCAGTTCGAAAGCACGTCAAAGTGCAAGTAGATAAATAGGTAAACAGCGTTTCCATGCACTGCTCTGGTTCGCCAGAAGCTGGCCACATGACCCGGAAGCTGTACGCCAGCTCCCTCGGCCAGTAAAGTGAGATGAGCGCCGCAACCCGAGAGTCGGCCACGACTGGACCTAATGGTCAGGGGTCCCTTTACCTTTAAGGTACTAAGAAGACAGTGATTTCCATGTTGACCTGTGTTTGTTGCAATCAGTGCTGTTTCTGTCATGCTGCAGTTCACTTTCTGCCAAATACTAAGTTATTAATCTCCCTGTCCATTATTTAATGTAACAACTATTTATGTAACTTATGTAACTCACCTTTATTTCAACAGGAAACTGAAACAATGTAAAAAATAATTGCCTATTTCATTCACTTGACTAATTTGCATTCCTGACCACAGACAAACATTCAAACTGAAGCAATGTCTGCTTCCTTTTCCACTTTCATCCATATTATCCAACACCCCTAGAAGGAGGTACAGAAGCTAAAGATTAATTATTCACTCAGATGTATCCCTGTTCTCCTTTGCATCTGGTAAGACTTCCAGGTCATCAGGCATGTCTTCTAAACAACCTCCTCTGTAGCTCCCTTCCTAGAAATTGACCATGAACAGGAGAGGTTGCCACCATTTTTCTGTCTTTGCTTTTGTGCCTTTAACAGCAGCCTGGTATGCAGAAATTTAAGCAAGACATTGCCTGGTATGAAGATAAATAAAAATGTACAAATAAAAATATGGTATCAATTGGAGGGAGCCCCCCTGGAAATGGCAGGCTTGGTCCTAATCCAACCAAAACATGTAATAATTGCAACATTTTAAAAATGGAAATGTGATATTAAAATCCGTTTGAGCTAGTTGCATTAGTGATAAACAGAGTATGAGTCAGTGATTGGGAGGGGGTGGAGAGTACAATAGCTACCCTGTTAGGTCCCAGGCCATCCCATGAGAAAGCATGATTGAGGGTTGAAAAGGTTCTAACCACATTTTCCAGATTGGGATCATAGCGCTTAGCTCCTTGCAAAACTGAACAATGCTTCCTTTTGCTTTAAAGCTGCATAAAAGCCTTGAATGCTCAGCACTCTATGCAGATTACTTGTGCTGCCTTTAAAGCAAGTCTGCCAATCCAAGCTTGTTCTAGTATTGCCAGGTCCTGAGCAAATGGGGAATCCTGTGCCTTGGCTTGACAAAGGAAAGGTTAGCAGGTGTGCTGCTAAAAAGCTGCACCCCATAGATGCCAAGTTACTCCTTGCTCTGTTGTCCTTAAAACCTCACAGGGACTCTTTTAGAACAGGAGTTGGAAATCCTAGTGTGAGTTTTACACAACACAATTTGTTTTCCAAAGACACCACACATTCATCTAAGTGGAAAAGTTCCCCAGATGTATTAAACAGGGCTCAGGGTGGCATATACTTCTATACTGAAACATACCTTGTCTTTGTTTTCATTGAAACACCCCAATTTCTTATGCTGATTTGAAATGGTATGGAAACTTTTTTCCTACAAGGAAGCTTGAGAATTTTTGCTGAAAGTCTATATTAGAGATCCCTAGCGTGTTCCCAGGGCTGAATGCCCTGTGGGGGTTTAAGCCAGTTTATGCTTGCAGTTTAGAGGTGCTTGTTGGGTGCTATGTAAATGTCACTGCTTCGGCCTCTGCTGAATTTACCCAAGGCAGTAGCTCGTCCCGTGTTTGAATGTGTTTACTAGACATTGATCAATTAGCTACAGAATACACCCCCTTTTATGCAATTTCTTTCAACCCAGATTTCTTCATTGCACACAAACTGATTCATCTAGGGACTCCTTGTGCTACTGTTCCTTTTATCTTTCTTCCCCACAACTACTTTTTAAGATCCCACATAGAAAATCATTTTTAATTACTCTACTCTTCCTTTAAAGATCCTGTGTATGCATCTCAACTATATTTATATGGATCAATATTGCCATCTAGTGAGTAATTTAACTACTACTATAGCAAGAGCCTAGGCAGATGCAATTGAGATGCAATCAAATAACAGGGTATCTATTTAAAAGTTCTAATCACATTCAATAATTATTTTGACACCATGCCTGGACAAATTCAAAGGGTGCCATTCCCCCCCCCGTAAACTATATTACTGCCTATGCTAAACTGTTCTTAGACCATTTATTCAGAAGTGGTTCTCACTTAGTACCAAAGGAATTATTCCCAAGTAAAGCATGTATATGATTACAGTCTTAAGTGCTCTCAACAATCCTTGGAATGAAGCCTTGTAAATTACAATACAAAAAATTACTTGACTCCCTCTGCATTTCTAAAACAAAATTTAAAGTCAAATAAAGCAATGTTAAATGAAGTTCTCCCACAGTATCTACCATCTACTAATTTCTACCATCTCAGAAATTACTGTTAAACATTATTAAATGTTCACTCCTGAAAACGGCACATATTTCCCCCTCTTCTAAACTCCCCTAAGTTTAAATGGTTAGTGTTTGGGGGGTTTGTCTGAAAAGTCCTACAAAAGGCACTCACTTTAAAAAGTGCGTATGCAATACTCTTCTCTCTCTTGTACTGCCCCATCGGCAGGATGCACAAATCAAACCCTAAATCTAGCCCTTTCTCTGTTTATGCTTTTTTCACAGTATTCCATTCACCTCACCACATTTCCATGTTGATTTGTGATTTCTTTAAAAAGTCCTCATGAAAATTCATCAGCATTTTATTGCAGATTTCTCTTTAATGTACACATTTTTGTATGCAGCTTTGTGTAATAGTCAAATGTTTGCAATGAATTTCCCTAATGCCATTTTGTATGTTATTTTCATCAATACAAGCGTTGTTATGCACAGTTTCCCCAATATATTCATTTTTATAAACAGATTCGGGTTAGGGAACCGCTTTGCAAAATTCAGAAAACTCCAAATTTTGAAGGTTAGATGAGTTTCAGTTCATATATTGTTTGGGGAAGTGTTGATTAGGTGGGTTTTGCATTTTAATAGTTAGCATTGTGGCTTCACGGCTTCTGGTTGGTTGGGTTAAAAGGGTTTAAAACCTGGGGAAATAGGGGAAAGACTCCATCCCATCCTCTGTGTTGCTCCTACTCTGAATTTGGGGGTGTACAGTGGAGATCACCATGCTGTGGCCAGCTGTGCTGCGCAGCCTAGTCATGTCCAACATTATTTCTCTGGTGTGTATTGAAGGTTGTTTATGCTGGGAGGGTGAAAGTCATTTATGTTCGGATGTTGAAGGCTGTTTATGCTATTGCCACCCAAGTCAGCATGCTGAAAAATTGTGGGATGGAGAAAGAGCGAAGGTGGCTGGTGCTCACTGGACTGGTAAGGAGGAAGGCAGAGATGTCAACAAGAGGTGGAGCAGAGCTAACAACAGGCAGAGCCAACTAATTCTATATTTGCCCCATCCTCTCCGTGACAAGTTCTACAGAGGAGCAAGAAGCTGTCAGGCAGCTCCACCCCCTAGGCTGGGTGTAAGTAAGTAAGAAGGCAGATTGGGGCTGGCTGAGAGCAGGCAGCAATTGGTAGGGCAGTGCCCCACTTGCTCTAGCAGACAAGCCTCCACTGGCAGTGAGGTGCAGAGAGAAAAATAGAGACATGTGTGATATCTCAGGAATAGCTGAGAGTAATGAGGCTGCAAAGAAATCCATGGGAGAAGGAAAGAAAAAAGAGGAATAATAGAAGTGGAGCTGCAGCTCTCTGGGGTGGTAGAAGGAAAGGAGAATGTGATGAGGTGCAAAAGGGAAAATGAGGCTGTAGAGAGACCTGGAGGTAAAGGGAAAGCGAAAAAGGGAGAAGCTCAGAGAGGGTTACAAACATGTATGGTGGTGCAGAGAGAAAGCGAGAAGCGAGTGGACTGGGCTGGGCTGTGATACAACAGAGCACAGGATTAAGTAGAGGGGGGAATGGAAGGAAGGAAGATGAACAGAATTATTTTTTTAAAAAAAGGTGTGTTTTGGAGTGAAGAGAGAAAAAGAAAAGGGTACCAGTATAGAATGGGTTAAAAAGAGCACAGTGATAAAATTGAAAAAAGAAAAAGAAAAAAACTTTTGTAGTTAACATAGCCATGCTATTCTTGGGTGAGAAAAAGGTTCCTAGTAAACAGTAGAGTGATTTACGCTGTGCATCCCTGCTATAAATTAATCCAGTTCATCATATGTTCTGGGCCATCTAATAAGGTCACTATAAAATTGACAAATGATGGCCCTTGGCAGTGTTCCTAATTGAGGTTTAATCAATTTACACTAGTGCCAAAGCCTTTCAAATATCCTCCTTTTTGTTTGGAACGGCAGTGAGTGTTCCAAGTGGGAGTGGAAGACACCATCTGCCTGCAGTGAGCTGGAGCCCCCCACCACCACTTCATGTTTTGTTTATGCCACATCGTTTTGAGGGCAAAAGATTGGGAAGGAGAGGGGGCAATTTTCTCATAAAAATGTTTCTGCGAAGCAGCCAGGATAATTAGTCCTGCTCCAGTGTGATGCATCACTGCTACTATAATAAAACACACACACACAGATTAAAAATGTCAAAATGTTTAGCTCAACATATTCAGCAGTATTTTATTATGTTGTGAACTACCCTGTGATCTTTGGATGAAGGGCGGTATACAAATATCATCATCATTACAGTTGACAATAATCCAAAGGAGTGTATATGCAAGCACACTCGACTTGTTTTTAGAGGTGTTTAAAAAGAAAGACCAAAAACTGCCCCACAGAACTCCCCAGCTGTTCTGTCAACTCTGAGGAATCTCCTAGGATTGGCACAAGAGATCACTGGGACATGGGTACATTTAGCTTTTAGCAATGGCTTGGAGCCAAAGGTATTTTAAAATTGGCAGACTACATTATTTGATTTTTGACCCTTAGAGCTTTACATAAGACGGTTTGATATTTACTTACTTGCATATTTTCTAAGATGTATTATATGCTGATATTGAGTTACTGATATCAAATGAATGGACTTTGGTTTTTAGAAGGATAAAAAATGGTTTTAGAAGTGAAAGATTATAGAAGGGAAGGAGGGAGGGTTGGAGAGAGAAAGAGAGAGAGAGAGAGAGAGAGAGAGAGAGAGAGAGAGAAGTGAATCCCATATTGAAGCTTGGTGATAGCAGTGGGCCCCAGGTCTGAAGAAGTTGGGCTGCTTGTCCCATCAGCTCCTAAAATGAAGTTGTAATTCAGCATGGAGGGCACCATTTTGATTAGGGCCATTTCAGAAGTGATATTGTCCTGCTCATTTTGGAAAGTAGTTAGAAACGGGCGTATTTTATGTGGATCACAGGTACAGAATTTTCCAAAACACATGTCCAATATCTGCATTTGACTCTCCCATTATAGCTGAGAAATACATATTTCTTTGCTTTGCTAAAGTATGGGAAACATGTCGCACAGGTTTCTTCTTCCATATGCTAACTAGAAAATCTGTGTATATTTTACAAGTCATTATTTTCCACCACTGAAAGTTGCATCTATTTTTGTTTCATGTTGGTATGACCACATCTGCCTGACTTTAGTCAGCTCTGCCTGCTTACAATCTGTCCAGGGAAGGGCACAGCCTGTCACCTTCTTCTTCCTTACTCAGAGGCCACAACCAGACCGTGAAGCCCTATCATGTCACTTGAAGCAGTTACATCTTCCGTCAAAGAACTCTGGGAACTGTAGTTTGCTAAGGGTACTGAAAGTTGTTAGAAGACCCCTTTTCCCTCACAGAGCTACGACCCCCAGGTTTGCCTGGGAAGAGGGACTAACGTTGAACCACTTGGGGAAGGGTAGCTCTGCGAGGGGAATAGGGGGTCTCCTAACAACTCTCATCACCCAAAACAAACTACAACTTGCAGGGTCTTTTGGGGGAGCCATGGCTATTACAGTCATATAATAGTGCTTTAAATGTATGATGCAAATGTGGCCTCAGTTATTCCCTTGTGCAGCTCAGCAGAAAGGAGCATGGGGAGAAAACTAGAAAAAGTTGGCTCTGCCAATCATTGCCCACTGAGAAACTACCTAATCTGCACCTCTCAAACCAATATGTGAACTGAAATCCAGGTACCCTTCAAAATTTGTACTTTTCTGCATTTTGCAATGCGGTTCTTTAAGCATATCAGGTGTACAGAAATGCATCTGTGAGAAAAGTCTGCATTGAAATGCATAATATTAGAGGAAATTAGTCAAAACTGCCTACAACAATGTGCTTATTAGAGGAAATTCACACTAAATTGCACTCTATTTTTCTTGAGGGTCTTTTAAAAAATCACAAAATGCTGCAAAAATATGGAGATATGAATTTAAAATTAGAAAAATGAGAAACAGAGAGAAACCAAAACTGACAGATCTGTCCATCCCAAATTCTTAAGTTGCAGAAAATAATTGTTTGCAATGTTTGAGGCATCCTTGAAATAAAAGTTGTTGCTAGAGGAGGAGGAGGAGGAGGAGGAGGAGGAGGAGGCTGGGGACGGGGCTTCTTCTGATAAACACCCGAGGCATCCCTTTTCCAGAGAAATGAAAGAATTTCCCTAATCATAAATTCATGCTTGAGATTCTAAGGAAACTCTGACTGCAAGAGAACTTGCTATCCAGAGAGAACTAACTGAAGAAAACCCACCACTCATAGCAGAAGGGAAAAGAGAATATGAGCTAGAGACGGGTAACTGAACAGAAAATGGAAAGCACCAAACATTCCCTCTGTAGTTATAGGAAGACATTGTTCTAGACAATCAAGGGGAACGGGCAATCCTTCCACAGTCATTATGGAAGTCTTTAGCAGGGCTTACCCCATAAGAGGGCAAAGGATAGAATTTGGAGAGGTGTCTGTATAAACATGTGCACATTCATGTTGGGAGGGTTTGAGCCCCATCCAGCCCCTGCCTGCACCATCCAACACAGGCTCTCCATATTTCCCAGTTCACCAGGTTTCACCGGGAGTCTATCCAAGCCGGCCAGTGCCTCTTTAGACCATTACCTGATCTAAGCATTACCTGCTTTCATTTACAAAACAACAAGCTTTTGTCCCTGGTGGAAGCCAAGAGACAAAATGTGTATTCTTCCCGTGGGCTTCATGAGAAGCAAACCCTTTCTCATTTTTCAGTATTTGTAGGCAATAAGTAACACAAAAGCTATAATTGACATTTATGGCAACACATTTTTCCATCCAAGAGAGAGTGGAAGCAGAGAAAGAAAGAATGAGGGCTGCCAGCCAGTTGCCTGTGAAAAGCTGAGCCTGTGCCATTTAGCCCGTGAAGGCAGAGGTAACAGAGAAGTGGGCAGGTGATAGCATGCCAAGCATGCATGTGGCAACAGAGTGTGGTGTAGTGGTTAGAGTGTTGGACCAGGATCTGGGAGACCAGGGTTCAAATCCTCACACCTTGGGCCAGTCACTGCCTCTCAGCCTAGCCTACTTCATAGGGATTAAATAAGGAGGGAACCATGTACACCACCTTGAGTTCCTTGGGTGAAAAGGTGGGCTATAAATACAATAATATACACGCCTATAATTTCTGTGGTCACCACTTTAAAAATAACTACTAAGGGACAAGAGGATAAGGTCTGAGTCCACATTGAGAGCACAAATTGTGTGTGTGAGAGAGATTGGAATCATTTCAAGATCCCCCTTTTGGGGGAACATTTTGATGCTGACATGCCCCATCCCATATATATTCACAAGTATATTTATGGTTTCTTTTTCCAAGTCCTAGTGTCCTGCTCCTCTTGTTCTAACGTTTGGGATGCATTGGGTGGGTTGTTGTTGCTGTTGTTTTCTCCCACATTTGTGGTAGTAAATAAGAACTTGGTGGTACAGAAAGGGAGTGTGCAAATAAAAATGTTTTTGATACAGGCTTGATATGACTTTCTTTTTATAATATTCCTGAAATATTAAGCTGGGGGAGCCTGCAAGTGTGAGAGGGAGAATGTTTCCAAGAACATAACGAAAATTATCCAAAGTAGCATTTGCTGTTTCAGAATGGTGTTTTCCTTATTGGACATAATATTTGGGATTAGAATCTGTTTCATCTGCTGCATATACTAGGAAGTGCAATGTTGGCCACTTAAATGAGGTGCAAATAAATTCCAGAAGGGGATCTGTGTTACATCTCTTGCAGCAAAAATGAAACAGACCTGTGGCAACTTTAAGGATGCAATCCTAACCCAATTTATCCGAGAGTAACCAGCAATGAATTCAATGGGGCTTACTTCTGAAAAGACATGAATTGTGCTATAAAAGATTTATTATGATAAAGGTTTTGGCGGACACCAATCTACTTCATCAATGCATGAAATATTATTCTCAATCTGTAGGGTGTGAGAGTGTGGGTGAGCTACAACAGCACTACTGCAAATAATAACAGAACAAGGTGAAAGCAGTAAGGAAACAATACAACTTTCCCATTGGATTGGAAATCAACATGTTTTGCTTGGGTAGTGCAATAATTTCCTTAGTGTTCATGAGGATCTGAGCACCGTAATTTTTTTTAATGGTTAAGGTGCATGCTACTGTTAAGTGGGTTTCATTCTTCAGATGCTTGACCATAAAAAATCCAGAAGCTACTTCTCCATTTTTATTTTGTAAAAGCACTTAAGAGTGTCCAGATCAAGAGTAGAAAGAGGCAAAAAAAAAAACCAAAATGCTCCCTCCTATCACCTCCTCTTCCCCCAACAGATATTATGCTATTCAATATACAGTGGAACCTCTACTTACAACCATAATCCGTTCCGGAGGTCCGGTCCTAACTAGAAACATACATAAGGAGAGGCACACTTTTCCATAGAAAAGTGAATTGATCCATTCTAGACAATGAAAAACACCCCCTAAAACAGCAATTTAACACGGATTTTACTGTCTAATGAGACCATAGATCCATAAAATGAAGGCAATAATCAATGTACTGTACTATAAAATAAATAAGACAGTATTGAGGATGAAAAAAAATAACATTTATGTTTTTTCTTATGGGCACTGATGATACAGTAGTCATTGTTTGGATGGGGGAGAGGGGGCTTTTATCCATTATGCAGTCACACAATCAACCAGTAGCTGAAGTGGGTGCCACACAGTCACAAAAACAAGTGCTTCGCAGCCGGCGGACTGAGCTCCGGCTAACCAGAGGCCTCTCCCCGGCCGCAGAGGCCCCAGCGCTGCCCCACAGCCGGCCAGCCGGCCAGCAAGGCCTCTGTTTGTATCTAGAGGAAAGTTCCTAAGTCGAAGCACCTACTGAGGGTTGTAACTGGAATCGTACGTAAGTAGAGCCGTACATAAATCGAGGTTCCACTGTACTCTGAAAAGCAACTTGAGTTCTGAAGTTCCCATTGAAATCAAATAGGCACATGCAATCCTTATGTTCCATTGCCTACCAAAAACCTATTTGTTTTGCCAAGCATTTTTAGAGAATTTGCTTCAGTGCTGGTCATTTGTTCTGCATTTTGAAAATTTAATATTTTAAAGATTTAAAAGTTTTAAAGCTTTAATGATTTTGATGCTTGTTAAGAGTTGGAGTTTACAAATATCCGTTAAAATGAAATTTTAAAAAACCTACAAACATAACTTACTGCTTTTCAAAAAATTAAGACTGCTTAAAAAGCAGCTCACAGGCAGAGAGCTAAACTAGTTTAACTGGGAGGACAGGCTATAACTGTTGTGTGCCTTCTCAGCATATTCTGAAAGAAAAGCTGCTTCTGCCCCAAAATGTGTCTGTGATGGCTCTGCAAGCTTCTGTGTGTTCCCTTTTGGGTGCCTCTACACAGGCAATTCCTTCTTGTAAGTAGTGGCTGGTGCCCAATGGGGCTGGCTGGGAAGAAGGCAAGAAGACCAACAGGAGGTGGAACAAGAGCCCCTGACAAGCAAAACAGACTCCATCCTCCTCCCTGGAGTTCTGCAAGAGCTACAGTTAGACTAAGGAAGAGGCAACTAACAAGAAGTGCCACCTACCGGCTTGGCTGTAAGAAGGCAGGCAAGGGAGAGCCGGGTGAAGGCAGGCTGTGCCCCCCTCCTCTTAAGAGACCAGCCTCCACAGCTATCCACTCGGGCTAAGCAACTCCCTCTATGCCAAAGTTCAACCATTCTGATCTGCATCAGTTTCACATCTGCTATCTATCTGTTTGTTTGTTTGTTTGTTTGTTTGTTTGTTTGTTTATACATACCCCGCCCATCGGACTGGGTTTCCTCCTCCCACTCTGGGCAGCTCCCAACAGAATTAAAAGCACAATAGAACATCAAATATTAAAAACATTAAAAACACTATCCATAAGCCTTTTCTGTCATGTTTCAAGCTTAATCTTCATTTTTTAAAATAAAAGTTGTGTTTAAGTACATGTTTAAATGCTATTTAAAAACAATAACACCATATTTAAATATGCATTTTGTATAATTTTGGAGCCTCACTCTTGCATCACAATATTCAGAGGAGTATGAAATCCAAGTGATGATAAAACATTATGAGATGCACAATAGTCCAGGAAGTGCAGATCAGATGTGTTTTAATTGCAATTGACAGAATCAAATTAAGCATCCTTACTACCCAAGGAACAGCAAAAATGTGGTACAGTCAGTTTTTAGGTCCTCAAAACCAGCTTCGCCCTGTAGCTGGTAAAGGCATCCCTGTCACTGAAAAACATTACAAAATGCATCTGTAGCCTTGCTATAATGTTTGAACAGAGCAGGAGAGGAACACTTTGCTTGCCAGTAAAATCATCTTATTGTGAACTGCACTGGCTCAAGAGTTGCTGCTTGCCTTGCGGTACTTTTCATGTCTTTTCACAAATTGCTGTGATTCTACCTTTAAGCTTTGCTTTGCTTTGTTTCTTTTTAAATGAAAGGCAGTACAGTATAGGAATATTTTAAATAAATCAATAAGTCATGAGAAATGAAAAGCAAACCATCATGAGACCAGGGCTAGCCCCTTCCATTTGTCCACAGGTGGGGATCCTCTGGCCTGCTAGGCTTCAGAGCCTGTTTTGGGCAAAACCATGCTCATCCTTGCCAGGCCTGATGTGAGATATAAGTCAGCAAGCAAGGGGTGGGTGAGTCAAAAGCACCAGGGAAACAACTGCAATGATTGCCCTCAACAAGAAATGTTTATCCTGTTGTATTTACAGCCCGTGAGTGTTTTCCTTAAAACTACTGATACGTTCACATGAGAATAAGTGTTAATGGATGACCCAAAATGAAGATCCCTAATGTCCCTGTTTAGAAACCTGAATTTGAGCTCATCAAATCCTGTTGTTGGTGTCTCTTAAACATCAGCAGAGAATCCTGTAGCAAAGCTCATCTGTAGCTTAATCTCTGTTGCTGTAAATTCCATTTATAAAACTAATGCAACTAATTGCCTCTGGTTCACTGACTTTTCTCCTGGTGCTGTCCCACTCTTAGCTCCTCCAGAAAAATATATACCAGTCTTTTGGACTGGGGTTCAGAAGCATGCCATTTATCATGAATGACCTAGCAGTACTGAAGCGTTGGGGCCAGTAATATTAGTTCTAGTTAAGAAAGAGAATGTGTGATAAAATGATACAAATAAATACTTCCAAGCACCAGAGTAAAGCCATGGAGCCAATACGGCATTAATTCAAAATGGATCCCTAAGAGAACTCAAGTCAGTGTATAAGCTGAAATGAGCTCTTAGCTACTCAACTGTATCCTAAGGGTAAGTAGCAAATTAAAATTCATTATTCATTTTAATTGAGGATGATTATCAGTATTTTAGGAGACATACTTCAAAGTTCTGTTATTCCCTGTGCATAAGAAGTGGATGCTAAGAAAGCAGGGCTCTCTCAAGAGAAAAGAGGAACAAATGAAAGAAAGAAGGTGCTTCGGAGACACATTGAGCACGCTCGGCTCTGAGCAGTTTATTCTTGGGCCAGGCAGGAAAGACCTAAATAAAAAGACACGAGGGCCATATGCGGAATCACATTATGGGGCCAGAGACGTGTCTGACCTTTATGCCACATTAAGGATCTCTCTCCAATACTGTTAGGAGCGTAGGAAACCGGGGAGGGGGGGCACAGGGGGTGTAGGGCATCACGGAGGTTGCTGGGCGGCTCAACAACTTTGGGAAATCTCTTTTAAAAAGCTCCACCCCAGACACCAGCAGGGGGTGCTGTTAGTCTTCCACCAACATTCCTATTGGTCAATTGACTGACTGACACCAACATGTGATAAAGAAGTCAAGGATGTGCTTCAGTTTTAAGCAGATTCCATTCTTTCTGCTGGGTAGTGAAGCTTCAAAGGAAGCTGGCTTTTTGTGGGGAGAGCACAAATTGTGAAATTTTCAGACTTTCAGAAATCTCAAACCTAGAAAAGGTTTGAACTTTTTCTTTCATTCATTTTTAAGCATCTTTTTTGTTTCCTGGGTACTTTTATTCTGATCGTCTATTTATAAAAATGATCCCACCAAGATTGCAGGATATCAAAGTGAAAGGTTGTGAAGGGTCAGCACTGCAGGGGAAAGAGGGGGAGCCTAGAAAGCACGCCAGTGCGAGTAGATAAATAGGCACCACTGCGCCAGGAACGTAAACGGCATTTCGGTGTGCTCTGGCACTCGTCACAGTGTCCTGTTGTGCCAGATGCAGTTTAGTCCTGCTGGCCACATGACCCAGAAAACTGTCTGTGGACAAACGCCGGCTCCTTTGGCCCGAAAAATGAGATGAGCACCGCACCCCATAGTCACCTTCGAGTGGACGTAACCATCCAGGGGTCCTTTACCTTTTTACCTAATCAGTGCTCACCGCCACCCATTTTCTGCCCTTTCTTAATAGATTTCACTGCAAGATATTGGGAGCTCTAACTTCAATTCCCTTCTTGGTTCAGATTTTTGCACATTCAAATTTTAAACAGAAAATGCCATCTCCTAAAACAGACTGAATTAAATTGTCCTAAGTAAATAATTAATAAGAATCAGGAAATGAAGCAAAAAGGTCAAAGTCAAAAAAGGGTCTTAGGTATTCATTTCCAAGTGTATTTATTTACTTTATCCAGGAAAGCGCTTTACTGCTTTTGAGCTTGTGCTCCTAAATTTAGTGTACACCTTCCTATAAATCAAGGAAATGTTAAGCTCTCATTTAAAAATACCACAAAACTATGCAACAAAATACACTGGTTGCTTGCTAAAGGAACATAGGGAAGAAATGACATAGACTTCCTTTGAAATAACAAATCCCATCTATAGGCCTCATTTGTTTGGCATCCTTCTTCTGGCACAAGGCATCTCTGAGAAGAAGGTGCTGTTCCTATGAACAGTCTGAGCAGCACAGGACCCGAGGTCAGTCTAGGCAGGCTGCTAGTGGGGGCAGAGAGAGGGAAGATGGAGAGAGGCAGCTTAATCCTTTCCCCTCTGGTCATTTTCAGATGGAGAGAATTTTTAAGGCAATAATCAGTCTGGAGTCTAATAAGCCAGAAGTTGCTTAACCCTTTTCTCTCTGGTCCTTTTCCAACTCATAAACTCTCCCCCACAATGTTTCTTCATCTTGATCCCCACTTTTTCACCTCCCGGTACGTAAAAACACAGTTTGGAATGATTATGAGCTGAAAAATAACCAGCAGAGAGAAAAGGGTTTTGTAGCCTCTGTCCATTCACTCTTCTTCTGACCAATCTCAAAACCTGGGTGATTTTTTACTCTGAGGTAAAATAATGATCTCAATGTAAATGTTGTTTGACCTGTTTCTGTGTGATCACGCCCATTCCCCAACTCTGAACTGGGCTCCAAATGTCATGGTTTTAGGCAAATGACATTTAACACTCACAGAGAAAAGCAAATCAGTTTATTTCTTGGGCTTGTAGGAGGCAACCTATCTTTGGCAAAAAGCCTTCACACTTTCCAAGAGAGTTATAGAGATGAAGTTGAGAAGTATGAGCAGCTGGTACTTCACAAAGCCAATAAGATTTAAGAAACAGAAATAAAATATGGGCTGTAGCATGAAGTGTAAATCCAGTATATAATAAATTGTTGCATTCTTACTAAAGTAAATAACTATCATTTTTAACAGCATCTTAAGATCTAACTGATAATGCTTCTTTTCTGTACATGTCCATGTTGTTGATATTTTATTTAAGCCTTCAGTGAAACTCACATCTTAGCTATAAGTAACCTTTGAAGATACTCTTCTGCGGAAAAGTCTGCTGTAGTCTAAAAATAAGGGACTATGGTGTCAGGAAGAGAACCTACTGAAATCAGAAATAGAAAAGGTCAGTTGCTATTTTGAAAGCTGTGTACTATATAACTCCAGTTTTGACATGAGCACTCTGCGCCACACACTGTCATTTTCCTGCATCATTGCATTATACAATCCCTATGGAACTCAAAGCGGGTGGAGGGTCACTTTTCAATCATCTAGGAGTCACTTCCATGGCACAGATTGTAACACTGGAAGAATGTATACCACATCTTCCTGCAATTCAAAGAGCAAGCCAGCAACCTAAGTCTGAAGCATGTTGAGCTGAGAACAATTGAAATAGCGTCCATTTATACCTGGTGTGGTCATGATATGGAGAACTGTCAATATGTACTTCCACATCATGTGTGAACAGACCATGATGTCACTGACTTAGGACATTTCCACACAATGCAGAAGCACTTGTTGACTCTGTACATTAGTGCAGCGACTAAAGTAAGGCATCACTCTAGCCCATTTTAAGCATTGCCTGTATAGCATATAGAGAGTCCAGACTTATGAGAAGATAAAGTAAAGGGTAAAGGGACCTCTGACCATTAGGTCCAGTCACAAACGACTCTGGGGTTGCGGCGCTCACCTTGCCAAGGGAGTCGGCGTACAGCTTCTGGGTCATGTGGTCAGCATGACTAAGCCGCTTCTGGCGAACCAGAGCAACGCACAGAAATGCCGTTTACCTTCTCACCAGAGCGGTACCTATTTATCTACTTGCACTTTGACGTGCTTTCGAACTGTTAGGTTGGCAGGAGCAGGGACTGAGCAACGGGAGCTCACCCCGTCGCGGGGATTCGAGCAGCCGACCTTCTGATCAGCCAGTCCTAGGTGCTGTGGGTTAGACCACAGCGCCACCCACGCCCCTTATGAGTAGATACAGGTATACTATAAATCCTTGGCACTTTATATTTCACGGGTATGATTTTGGATAAAAATTGAAATGCAAGAATTGGTCCTGGGCTAAGCTATGAAAAATGTGAACCCAGGTCACTTTTTACTGAATGCCACAAAGGAGAGTCATAGATTGTTTCTCTGCTGAATATAATGTAAGATCCCTTTCTTCCCCCAATGGCAACATAGGCTGGATCTACACTGACCTATTTAATGTTATTAGAACCATATTAGATACATTGTTCTAAAATGTCACTTGTAAAATAAAGCATTTATTACCTTTGTTTTTTTCACCAAAATGCTGTCTCCCTACTCCTGGTTGCACCACCCTCTTGTGTCACATTTTAATAACACATTCTGAATGTTAAAAGTAAGACGTTATGTGTTATCCACATATGTTATCCAAACCATTCCTTAACCCTTCCTGAACATTAAAAACCTTAAGTGTAGATTCATCCATAATTTCTGATATTAGCACTGTGACCCATGAGATGAAATTAATGCAAAATGAAACAACTAGTGTACGAGAGCAATAGAATAAAATTTGAGAGGATTGTGGTGGGAGGGGGAGAGAAATAAGGACAGAGACATACTGGTTAAGTTTGAAAAATGCAAGAAACTGGAGATGCCTGACGTTTCTTTGATGAAGAGATAGGTGTTCCCGTACTTAACCGGGATGAGCTTGCCCCACCAAACCCCATATTTTGGGCTCACTGGGGCAGGGAGTGACCCATCAAGAGGCAGCGGACTGGATGATCTTTAAGATCCCTCCCCACACTCCTTGTCCACTTTGCCTCTGCAGCACGGGAGGAGACCTTTTTCCTTTCTCAGCATTTCCATTTCTCCTCACTAGCTCTGTTTGGGAAAGGGTTACTCTTCTCCAAGAAAGAAAGGGAAAATAACAATCTGATAGTGAAGACTCATCCAAATGATCTGAAGAAAATAATTTGAGTGTTAGCTGCTGTAGTTCTACATAAAGAAAGTAATTCTAACCAGTGAACAAGAAGTTTTGTGGTGAGTATGCTCCATGGCCAACATAACGTGGGGATTCTGAATAGCAGGAAATATGGATCATGGAGACTTTATTGGTTGAGGCACCAGGCCTCTTGACGTGATAGAAAGTTGCATTCATTCTGAAGTGTCTGGGTAAAAACAGATCTCTGCTCCTCTTACCCGCCCACCCACTTTAACTGGCATGTGTTCTGTTGTTGGCTAGTCTATGAAAAAGCTCGCATTAACTTGGACTCTTCATCTCAAGCTTTTTTGTGGCTTTTTCAAAAGACCTTTCAGCCCACTGTCTTCCATTCGAAGACTAATCCCTTTCTCTCTTTCATCAATGCCAACTAAGCAAGCAAGCAGCCTCCGATGCTTATGTAACTCTAATCAGCCCACAGAATGAGCTGTCAGACTCGGGTCCCCTGAGTCCAAGCACAGCCTTTCTTTGATACATTCCAGCTCTGCTGGCCTGGGGCACAAGAATCTCAAGTCTGCCTTTGCACCTGGCTTGCTTTCAGATGCCAGCACACAGAGCCTTGCTGGCAGCGGCTGCTTCTGCTGCCCACCCTAAGGCTTTGCACACCTAGATGGAGGTTTGCCATCATCCTGAGGAACAAGGGGCACATGCACAGAAAGCTATGATGTGGCGCGGCAGAGGGCTTTAACTTCAAAAGCTGCTGAACCAACTTATTTCAAGATAACTAACATTTATGAGACAAAATAGTTTAAGAGGAGCAGTGCTTCAAAGGTGTAAATATTAGCTATGCCAATCAATAATAGTGCAAGGTGGTTGTTAAGTGGTTTTGGCTACTTTGTGGAGGTTGCTTGGAATTCTCCGCATGATTTCTGTTATTGCTTGGAAAGCTGTTTGTATGCAGTGGCTCAATGGCCAGGATTTTGGAGGTTTGATTGGAATTCCAACATCTTGCCCTGTTACCAAAAATTGAGATTTTTTAAATTTCAAAAATACTATCAGTGCAGATCCATTTGAGATTGGGTGCATGTGTAGCAAGGAGTGCATATGCGCACTGTGAATGTGAACCTGGGCCTACATTGCTGCCATAGGGAAATCTGTCCTTTTACAAGAAGCATGTGAAGTGACTGGGATCACTTCGCAGGGTGCATTGGGTGAAACTAGAATGGTACTTGGTCTCACAGTGACCACAGATCCTAAAATATGTATCTATACTTTACAGTCTTTATGGGACACAAACCTGCCTATACAGGGGGCTGGTGCTTGGCGGCCCAGGTGTCCTCAGTGGCATTGAGTGCCTCTTGCCTGCCATCTACATGGGTTGCCTGGGACAGTGATCCCTGCTCTGGGGACCTCCCAGCTGGATTTCTGTACTGTCTTGTATGGCGTGTTCTCATTAAAAGAGAGCCCGTGTTGCGCTGGGGGCCAGCCAAGCCACCCCTCTATTGCCAGGCGGGTTGGGGTGGTTGGTCTCTGGCAGGGATTGGTAGTTTGAGTTGCTGGGGTAATTCTGATGTTGCTAATTAGGGGGAAGGAACAGAGGTTTTTTAAGCAGTGCACACAGCGTTCAGTTTTCTCTTTCGCTGCGTGCACCGGATCACCCGCCCTCCCTCCCTTATTTTAGGTCTTGTGTGTTGACCTTGCTATGCCTGTCATGGGGTTGTCTGCCGTTGGGGCAGGGGCCTGGTAGGAATTTTGTCCATTTGGCTGATTGGCCGGTGCCATTTGGTCTTTGCCTACTGCATAGCAAATCGTCACAACTTGTAAGGTTGCGGTTAGGCATTGGTTAAAAATTGGTTGGAGGAGGGGTAAGGATTGGCTGGGCCTGCCCCTCCAATGCTGCTGCTGCAGGGGAATTCCGTTAAAGGAATTCAGGGGCTTGCCATGCTTTCGTCCAAATCCCTGGAATCGAGTTTGGCCCGCGTAAGCTCCTGGGAGCATGCAGGGAGAAGGTGAGGGCCTGTGGCACAGCTCCAGTTTCTCCCCAATATTGTTTCCCCTTACTGACTTTCACTGGAATCCAGAAGTCAGTTCTGTCCCCAGGCAGGGGGACAGATAGTCCTAACCAATGCCTAAGCAACCACTCACATCCATGTATGTTAATAAAGTTGTGGCCAAAATTATGCCAAAAACCTTAAACAAAAATTCTATGTGATGTGTGTGTTATTTTTTGGTGGGGGGAGAGTATCTTGGGGACCTTGACACGCAAGTGGTGTTGTCCCTGAAGATGACTTGAAGTAGAACTTGGCTTACAAAATTATGGCTGGTTTAGCCAAGTAGATTTGGATTACACAATTTATTGGACGAACTGCATTGTCTGCCTGTTCACCTCAAAGCCAAATCCAGGAGCTGGCACCTACCACTGAATTCATAAATGGCTTGGGACCCAAATGCCTAATGGAACAACTCTTCCCATAACAGTCTGCCCATGTCTTAAAAGTCTTCATTTGAGGTTCTTCTCTGAGTGCCTTCTTTAGTGGAAGTATGCTATACAAGATGATCTTTGGTGCCATAATTAAAATCTTTTCAGTGCTAAGCCAAGTCACCCTTTATTTGTCATGGAATTTTTAATGTTTATTCTGCTTCATTGTGCCTTATAGTTTTTGCTGCTTCTCCATACACATGTTGTACTTGGTATTAATAATTTTTATTTATTTCTCTTTTATACTGCAATGCATATTTGAATCATTAATATTTTAAATAAATGGATTAATTAAATAATGCATACTTCCAGATCCATGAGCTGAGCTGAGCTGAGCTGCTTCTCTGCTCAAAATGGCAAAACGAGTGCCATTTTGAGCAGAGAAGCAGCTCAGCTCAGCTCAGCTCATATTGAGTGTCCTTGTTGTGTCTTACTGGCTTTTTCAGCAGTTGTGCAATATGGTAGAATATACCGGTAGCTATTGTACTATATTGCAGAATGTCTCATTCCCTGTTTTCCAGGGCTCCTGCAGACAACCTATATATTGAGCATTCATCCTGTTTTGCTTGTAGAAGTTAGATTATATTCATTTTTTATTGAGCATTCATTCTTATTGATTTGCAAGGAGCAAGCTTCCTGAATTTATCCTGATTTCCTTTTGGGGTGTTTATAAGCCATTCATTCATTCCACCCTTTTCAAAAATGCATTTCCCCATTACTCTCCTGACCACAAAAGAGTCTGTTACTTTTTTAAAAGTGGATTTGTTGCATGGTGGGGGATAAAGCAGTTTCGTCCACTTTAATTGCACAAGTCTACATTCCCCAATATGGGCTTGAATCTCTTCCACTTCAATTTTTCAGCACTTGCATTCCACATGTACTTACTGTTAGTTGCTGTTTTGCCATCACTTTATGGCCACAGGAGTGATGTTCAAGCAAGATGTACAACCAAAGATTTGTGTTTGTTGTTGGCTGATTATCAGGTTATGTTATTTGACCCTTGCAAAGACAAATTAATAGAAAGTGCAAGTAATAAATTGCTGCTTCTACATTACTCTGAATTGTTTATTCAGAATTCCCCAAAATGTGCTCCTGGCAGTGGAGTACAGTACCACTAAAAAAAAGTGCCCAGTGTGTTGTAGCAATGGAGAAAGTGTTCTTGAGACTATTGTTCAGCTGCCAGCTCATCGTATGGTCACTGCAGTAAAGGATTATCCTCATCTTTACTATTATCCTAGTATTACTAGATAACATTATTATTTAATTCTGTCCTGCATTCTTAGCAAAAGAAAACATGATTAGAGCAATGTAAAACAAAGTATATTTAAAATAATAATGATTGTGAAGCAGAGTTTCTTCCTTTTTGTTCCTCTTTCTTAGACCGAATTGCACAGAATATCATTAAGTCCCATTTGGAGACATGTCAGTACACAATAGAGGAACTACACCAGCTGGCCTGGCAAACCCACACATATGAAGAAGTCAAAGAATACCAGAGCAAGGTACCAAAAAGACAACTCACTGTATTAGGCTTCTATATTCTTGTCAGATGGGCAGCATATAAGTTATTATTATTATTGTTATTACTCCTTCCTAATCACTGTTGTTCTGTGCATTATTTCTGCCAATTAATTTCTGGATAACACACGTGAGGACAGCACTTTTGAAAAATGACATTTTAAAACAGGAGCAATGTCTTAGGGAGGAATTCAGTGGAGCACTATGGCAAGCACCAACACACACATCCAATAAACAAATAAAATAACAGACCCTCCAAGTGTCCATATTTTCCAGGGACAGCCCCAGGTTTACAGAAGTCTTCCCGGTTTCTGATTTGATACTGGAATGTCCCACTTTTCCTTAGGAGAAATGTTTCACTGGAGAAATGTTGGAGGGTATGGCGTTTATGTGACACCCCCTTCCCCAAGCCAATGAGATGCAACCTTTAGAAGACATCAGAAGGCAGCCCTGGATAGGGAAGTTTTTTAATGATAATGTTATGTTATGTTTTTATATAAGTTGGAGGCTGCCCAGAGTGGTTGGGGCAACACAGTCTGGAGGGTGGGGTATAAATAATAAATTATTATTGTTGTTGAATAGGACATCCCTTCCCAGTAGCAGCAGGGTTCCTTTTCCTTTTAGAATAAAGTTTTAGCAGCCAGCTGGAAGGCTGGCTCAATGGATGCCAAGGGGCGAATCTGAGGACTCCAGAGCACCCACAAGCACTGCACAAGGAACCCAGTCATAAACAGGCACTGGAGCAAAAAGATGCTCCGTGTGTTAGAACAAGCCTTGCTCAAGCAGGTTACATCAGCCACTCTTGGGGCTTTGCTCCTTGTCCTCTTCAGCTCTGTGAGGGAACATGGCAGAAAAGACATGGGAACTGAGTCCCATTGGTGGATTCGTGTTGTTCCCTAAAATTAGCAGTTCCCACATGTGTCAGGGCCTTTTTATGAGATGTTGGTGTGGATCCTCCTCCACTCAGATAAGAAAGCATACAATGGATTGATGGACTCAGATGTCCCTCGATCTGCTGGTGGAAGTTCAGGGGCTTACTGGACAAAAAGTCTGAATAAAGAAGGAAAAAGCACATTCTCCAGAAACCAGGTGAGAGATGCACATCTCTGCCTTAGAGCAGGGGTGGGAAACTGGATCCAACATATAGACTGCTTTGACAGGTGTGTGCGGCCGTTTACATTGGGCATTTTCATTTGCTCCCAGTTCTTCCTTGGCAAGTGATGCTGTCAGTGCCAATGAGCAGAACAGCACTGACATCACGCTGCTTTGGGCAGGGAGTGGTTGCACTATGGAGTTCCTCAGAGGAGGTCAATTCAGCAGTGAGTACACCCTGAAATTTGCACCCTGGACTTACATGAATGTTTTTGTGTTTAACACCACAAAACAGTCCTATTAAATAGTCTTATTTTTTCTTGCTATTTTAATTTATGCACTTAGTAATTATCATAGTAGGTTAAAGCATCTGCACAATGGGTGGTATTCAACTAAGTTTTTCTGAGAAGACCTATTAAAATACTTAAGTCATGTCACACATTTCAGTGGGTCTACTTGAAGTAAAGCTTAATTGAATACCACCTATTGCTTCAGTAACCATAGGATCTGCACCTATCACATGAGTAATTGTCATCAATATATTATTGATCATGTGGCTGAACAGCATACATTCATTTCATGTCTGAAGGATCAACTTGCTTTATGATTACTATCTGCTCTCCTTTTGCACGCACATTTCTTCTGGAAGTCAAGAGAAGCATTATGGCAGCAGTGTGCAATCCAGATCACACATGCCATTCAGTACGTGGTGGAATTTGCAAAGCGGATAACAGGCTTCATGGAACTCTGTCAAAATGATCAAATTCTACTTCTCAAATCAGGTGAGTAAACAGGGATGGTGTCAGTGTTGCCATTAGCCTTTATGACCAAGGGCCCTCCAGGTGTTTTAAACAACAACAGCTGGCTGGGGCTCATGGGAGTTGTAGCTCAACTTTTGGAGGGGATCAGGTTGGGGAAGGTAATTTACTAACAGCAGTATTTGAGGAACAGAATTACCAAAGCTTACAGAAACATTGATAAATCAGCTTCAGGATTCAAACAGGGTATCAGATGGGACATCATGCTATGTCACTGAAAAAGCTGGAGTGTTAAACAATGCCTAAAATTTGACTATGACCTAAATGTACAGAGGATATCCCGTTGTACCCCCTTACACCTGAGTAGAAGTGAGAGTTTTAAAATGCTTGTACCCTTTGAACTCAGTGGGACTTACTTCTGAAAAGACATGGATAGGGTTGCCCTGCAAATAATGCTGAACTGGAAAAAGGACAAAAAAGACTGATAAAATCAACTTCACTACAGAACTGCATTATCATCACTTCAGCCAAGCAGCTATCTTCTAATGCTGTTTTTTTTTCTTCCAATGCCTTTCAAAAATAAATAAATAAATGCAACAAAAGTGTTTAGAGAACACAATATTTTACATATATTTTGTTGGTTTAAAATTATATTCGGTTCTTTTTTCTCTTAATGAGATGGGGGAGGGGTGGGATTTTTCGAGCAAAGCATGCTGGACAGTTTTTTACTTTTGCAGGACAACCTCAACTCCAAAATAGGCAAAGCAAGGGCTTGGTGGTCCACAATACATTCTCACAATTGAGTCGTCCAATACTGTTTCCATGCATATTCAGCCAGCACTGTTATGATTAAATCAGAGTAATTCTGTGACTTCTCCCTTCTGTGACAGGGGAGAAGCAGCTCATCCGCTCATTCACTGCCTTTTTCACAGAATATTACCAAAATCCCACAATTGCAAAAGAAGAGCTGCAGGCTGGCTTGCACTAGCCATTGCATCTAGCAGTGGAGATCAGGAATAAGAATTTGTTTGTGAATACCTTCTGCTTCCAGAAAATGGCTGAATGCAAATATCTCATCATGATATATCTGTACAGTAACCTTTGCTGTCTTTCCAGGCTGCTTGGAAGTGGTTTTAGTCAGAATGTGCCGTGCCTTCAATCCACTCAACAACACTGTTCTGTTTGAAGGAAAATATGGAGGGATGCAAATGTTCAAGGCTCTGGGTAGGGTGGTTTCTTCATTGTTTACTCAAGCCATAAAATTGTGGTGTGATCTGGGTATATAGTGGTGGCACCTGCAGCCATATATTATCAAATGAGTATCAACTCATCACCATTGAAGATATTTGAAATAAAAAGAATCTGTTAGATTCCACTAATTCCCCAGGCACTGCTTGTTTCCATGTAAGTGAGGTCATAGGTTAATAAAACTCTCGTTAATCTGAACCTCTGATTGTGTAATCATCATTTTAGATGCTTCTTCTCCAGCCCTTTGGGTAAACAGAGCTGGGAGAAACATTAACGCCATATTAAGATTTGGGAAAAGGGCAAAGGAGAAAGAATGTAAATCAGGGCTTGGATCCACTTAAGTTTTTTATTTACTGTATAAGGTATAAAAATGATGCTAATGTACACTGAAGGTGGAAAACCTGAACTGATGTTTACTCTGATTGAGCACTAAAGAGCAAGTATTCACAGGGAAAGCTCAGGGCAAGAAAAAAATGCACGGACACAGAGCTTTAAAGCACAGGCCTGTGCCTGGAAAGAGCGAGGCAAAGGTAAGTGTGGATAAGCCCTTAATTGCACCACCCTTGACTAGTAATAATAATAATAATAATAATAATAATAATAACTGTACCTCACCCATCTGGCTGGGTTTTCCCCAGCCACTCTGGGTGGCTTACAGCACATATAAAACATAAGAAAATGTCAAACATTAAAAACTTCCTGATAAATGGCTGCATTCAGCTGTCTTCTAAAAGTTGTGTAGTTCTTTATCTCCTTGACATCTGAAGGAATGGTATTCATCTGAAAGGAGGGTGTCACTGCTGAGAAGGCCCTCTGCCTGGTTCCCTGTAACTTCATTTCTTGCAGTGAGGGAACCACCAGAAGGCCCTCAGAGGTGTCTGGGCTGAACAGTGGGGGTGGTGATTCTCCTCCAGGTATACTGGGCCAATATGCTGCTGTGCCATTTGTACTGTTGTATTTCACTGCTTTATATCTTTTTGTGAGCCTCCTTTATATTACTATTGTATGGTAGAAACAAAATTAATGCTGAAATATAAACTGTGAGAGTAATCAGAGTAAAATTATAATAATCGTGAAGTGATCAAGAACAAAAGGTAAAGCTGATTCATGAAAAGGGATTCTATTAGTATCCACTTATAAGTGAACCTTCATAAGTGTGCCAAATAAATTTAAGCCACAATACAAGGCACAGGTCTGTACATTAAACTCCGGTGGAAATGAGTTGGAATTATTTCTTATCTTCTTATTTCTTATCTCTGAACTTTGTCAGCCACTCTGGAGTCTTGTCTTCTTCTTTTAAAGACTGGAGTAAAAGTGCTTTAAATGAGTAAATAAGCACATACAACTATATATTTGACTGGAACCTCATATCACACTTATGTTGTTATGTTTCAATCGGGCTTGTGGGAGGAGTTCTTTTCTGACTATTGAATTGGACACAACTGATAATCTGCTGTAAAGCTATAACTCATAACACAGAAAGATTAGAAAAGTAACTGAAAACATACCTAGCCTTTTTTGTAGCATTCAGCACAATAGTTGGTTCTTTCTCTTTTTGAGTTTTCCACGAGGTTGGATCCAGTGCTTTTTTCTGGCATACTCAAGGGTACTGGTTGGATCCAGAGTTACCTCTATAGCTGGAAGAACTTGTGAAAGAGCATGAGATTCAGCTAAGGTTCCCACTGAATAAAGATGATTTTTACCAGTTCCCCCTTAAGCCTCCCCTCCAACCTACCGTGTTCATCAGAGTATGATGCTCTTTAGCAGTTATTTCAGAGGTTGCAGAAGGAAAGGAGGAATCAACAAAATACAACCAACTTCTTCCAGTAGGAACTTCCCATGACTGGAGTTTCACTCACAGGAACTCTGGATTCAAAATGTTGTATCTTTAGGATATATATGAGGCAAGTTGTATAAGGCCTCAAATAAATCGCCCAAAGGCAATAGTTTAGTTAGCTTCTCATTTGCACAAGAAATGGGCCTTCTCTGTCTTTAGTAGCTATAAGAAAAATGACAAGTGGTCTGTTGTCCTGTCACTGAAGTACGACAGCAGTGAAAGCCATGCTTGCTGAACATCCCTTACAGACCCCAGAGAAAATATCCTCAGTTCTCATGTACTCATGCTAATGTTCTGATCTCAATCAGCAGCTCTTCAGGGAAGATTGAAACTACTTTTCCTCATAACTATCTCTAAGCACCAAGAATGTATGTGTTGTTAGTGTAGGAAACTGACTGGTTCTTCTGCATGATATATTTGTTTCACTGCCTGGATGTAAGGGAAATGGAAGAGAACTGATGCCCATTCATTATGGACACATGCATGCATTTGATCACAATAATATTCCTGGGAAAACATTACATGTGAAACAATATGATTTTATGTTGACTTTGTCTTCTGCACACAGGTTCTGATGACCTCGTGAACGAAGCATTTGACTTTGCAAAGAATTTATGTTCCTTGCAGCTGACTGAGGAGGAAATTGCCTTGTTTTCATCTGCTGTTCTGATATCACCAGGTAGTTATCTTCAACAAATTATACTTTCCCACCTGCATCCCATAGAAACTTCACTATTTCCAGTTCTTTTCAGCCTATGCTGGTTACTGTTGTTCTTCACATAAGTACGTACGTTAAATTACTGAATGGGTTTGATCTGTCTTGTATTTTGCCTGTAATTCAATAAAAATTACAACTGAAGAGGTTAAGCATTGAAGCTGGGCTACATGATCCCTGACGTTTACAGGAACAAACGGGTAAATATGTGCTAGAGCAGGAATGAGGAATGGTCGGCCAGATGGTGATGGATGGTGCTATCACGCCAAACCGTTGCCATGCTAGCTGGGGCTGACCACACTGTTCTACTGCATGGCTTGGACTTTACCATAGTGTATTATATTGCAGTGCTTCTGCATAGTGGGTAAGTTTATCCTGATTCATGTGGCAGGTTTTTTAAAGTGCGTCACAGCAGCACATAACCTGGTGACACTTCCTTTTTCACATGGAAGAGAGCAGCGGCTGAACAACCAGTGTAGGTTGTTGTTGTTGTTGTTGTTAGGTTACAACAATTAAAACACAATGTTGAAAACAACCTGAAATCACAGAAATGATGTGGTTCCTAAAAGATATACATCTCAGGTGCCAACAGCCAGCATAAAGAGCTACATCTGTTGGAGAAAGAGGCTTGGAAAAGATTTTTTACTCTCTCACCAGGCACATTAAAACTTGGTTAGATTTAAATCTCACCTCATCAACCTTTAAACAAACAATCTGCATGAAAATACAGTGGTGCCTCGCAAGACGAAATTAATCCGTTCCGCGAGAGTCTTCGTCTAGCGGTTTCTTCGTCTTGCGAAGCAACCCTATTAGCGGCTTAACGGATTAGCGCTATTAGCGGTTTAGCGGCTATTAAAGGCTTAAAGGCTTAGCGGATTAGCTGCTAAAAGGCTATTAAAGGCTATTAAAGGCTTAGCGGGTTAGATAAAGGGGGGGGAAAGCGGAAAAAAAATCTCAAGACTCGCAAGACATTTTCGTCTTGCAAAGCAAGCCCATAGGGAAATTCGTCCTGCGAAGCAACTCAAAAACGGAAAACCCTTTCGTCTAGCGGGTTTTCCGTCTTGCGAGGCATTCGTCTTGCGGGACACCACTGTACTAGAATAAATCAGACATTTAGTTTTCCAAATAATTGAAGAGGTTACTCAGAGTTTCAGGAGTTACAGCAAAAAAAGTCTCCACCCACAGGAAGAAAAGCAAAGAAGAAAAAAGGATCCAAATGACTTAAAAGAAAAGAACTTGGTTTCATCACAAAAGGATCGTGCAAGCTTTAGGAAAGCTGCAGGGTGTAAAATCTATTTTAGAGAGATTCATTCACTTGATTTTTCTTTGTCAGGGAGCCATTCCACATGACTCCTTTCATCCAGGAAGACAGCAGAGAGAGGAAAGGGGGGATCAAAAGTTGCTGGGAGCCCACTAAACTCCACCCATTGGCAGCTTGAGCTCAGGGCCCAAGTTAACCCTTTCATGCATGCAAGTGTGAGTCCGTAACTGTATACTGTATTGCAACAGCATCTTCAGTATTTGCCAAAAGCTGCATAAAGAAGATGCCAGATGTATCTCTGTGGGGAGGGAGTTACACAACTGCCAGAGAGAATGCCAACCACTTTTAAGATGCTGAGGACAATGGAACTACCAAGAGAAACCTCTCTGCAGGGAAGGAGGTGGGCTTTCAGGCAGTGGCAATTTGCACAGCTAAACCTGAAGGGTGGAATGGCCAGGCATGCCAAACTGTGAAACAGGATTAGTGGAGAAGGAGAAGAATTGATGTTACAAGTTACAACTGCTGCTGTGTGCATGTTTGAATACAGAACAGGTATGGCATACGGACTATATAGCCATATAACTCTGGATATTGTACAGCAAAGTTTCCATTGCACTTTAATTCAATTCCATTACTAAACTTGTGGACGTTTTCCTGGCAGTTATTTGATATTTCAAGGATAGAACCAAAGTATTATTTTGTTGCCCCTGTTACATGCAGCATTATCTTGATGGAATTCATCAACAGGATAATAAAAAGAAAAAAATGAAAATTGCAGGAAAGCAGCTAAACCAGGACTGCTCTGGCCACTGCCAAATATCTCCACATATGAGAAAATAAGAGGCTCAGAACTACAGCAGAAAAGATGCCATTTCTAGTCCAAGAACCAGAAGGCACCAATCTTCAGTCAGAGCAGGAACTGGGAGAGGACATTCAGCATATTGGTTCAAACCACATTGCTTGCAATGGAAACAAACATTCTTGTTTTCAGTGGAACGTCCTTTAAAGTTATGTGGTTTCAAGTTTCACAAATTAGTGTCCCAATCATAGACTTACACAGTGGTCTGTTAGATTGTGTGGTAAGATTCCAAAACATCTATTTTCCCCAGAACCTGCCTAGTACAGCTGTGATATGTGAGCATCTTGCAGGGGCTGGGAAAGCCATAGGGCAAGGGTAGAGAGGAATGCAGTGCTACCTGCAGCTAAAGTGAAAGCTAATATCAGATAAACCCAAGTACTAAAAACTTAGCTCTTTTGAGATGGGGAGCTAAAATATTGCACTTCCACCTGATGGTGGGGTTACAATGGCCACTTACCCTATTCGGGTGGAAGGCAGTTGTGGCCTGTTGTGGCAGCCAGGACTCGTGGGCATGGCCGGACACATTGCAGGATGGGATTGCCCACCAAATCCTGGGCGCCTGAGGGAGCAGAGCCTCATGGACTGGGAAGCAGATGCTTCTTCTCCAGTCCACCAGGGATGCTTTAAAGCCAACTGAGCCTGGCACCTTCATCACAGCTGGCAGAAGAGCAAACCCTCCCTCCCTCCTTGCCATGCTTTTGTCATGTGTCTTGTTTAACCTTATTTTGCTTTCCAAGTCACTTGTTTGTTTGTTTTTTTACTATTCCTTGTTTTACCATATTTTCATTGTAGTTGCTTGTTTTAATCATGTTTACCTCCTTGTAATACCTGACCTTGCTCTGGTTACTAATGGTTGCCATATTTGGAGCCAGGAAGAAATTTGCCTGCAAACAGGCGAGGTTTTGCCTTTCCCATAGCAAAACGAGCAACTTTCCCCATAGCAACTTTGGGCAGGTAAGGCATTGGGTGGAATCCTAGTTATCAAGGTCCCAGTTGAATTGGTGCATCACCCTGACCAAAGATCAGGTGTGTACTCAGGATACCCTGTTAGAGGGGCCTTAGTGGAAGTCTCTGTCCAGAAGCCAAGTGTGGGGCAGGTGGGAGTGGCCACCTTGGTAGTGTGGCTTCTTGGGGACACCATAAACCTTGGCACCATGCTGTCAAGCAGGAGGCTGGATGGATATGCACCCAATGCCTGAGCAAAAGTCCACCTGCATCTGGAATCAATAAAGTTGTGTCCATTTCTAATCCAGATTGTAGTCTGGTTGAGTTTGTCCTTTATGCCTTAGCTATAGCTTCTGCGCAAGGAGGGGTGGCTCTGCAACTGGGACCACAACGCTATTAACACCTATTGCTACAAGTCATCTTTCCATCTTTCTGGCTTTAGTTTATGCCTTCATTTGAATTTATTTATTTCTTTTGGCCAGATCGGGCTTGGCTGTTGGAACCAAGGAAAGTCCAGAAGCTTCAGGAAAAGATTTATTTTGCACTTCAACATGTGATCCAGAAGAATCATCTTGACGATGAGACTTTGGCAAAGGTAGCTCTTCAGTACACAAACTGACACTCCTACGTAAAAAGTGTACAGTTAATTAATATTGATTTTAATTCCCCCTTTTTTTTTGATTGGCTATTAGTGATTCCGCAGGGACGCGGGTCGCGCTGTGGGTAAAACCTCAGCGCCTAGGACTTGCCGATCGCATGGTCGGCAGTTCGAATCCCCGCGGCGGGGTGAGCTCCCGTCGTTCGGTCCCAGCTCCTGCCCACCTAGCAGTTCAAAAGCACCCTTAAGTGCAAGTAGATAAATAGGTACCGCTTTATAGCGGGAAGGTAAGCGGCGTTTCCGTGTGCTGCGCTGGTGCTGGCTCGCCAGAGCAGCTTCGTCACGCTGGCCACGTGACCCGGAAGTGTCTTCGGACAGCGCTGGCCCCCGGCCTCTTAAGCGAGATGGGCGCGCAACCCCAGAGTCGGTCACGACTGGCCCGTACGAGCAGGGGTACCTTTACCTTTACCTTATTAGTGATTCCAGTGTTCCTGCCCCAAAGGCTTTCTTGTTTGAATCAAATAGTTCTTCACACTCCTACCCAGGAATTTTCCTTGTATATCAGAACTCACCATGTGATCTTCAAACATTGCTATGGCTTCTATTCCACACACATGCTAGAATCTACCCCAGAATTTAAAATCTGCTGCATCCAGTGTGTGAAGGGATTTGCATGTAGAGCAATAGATTGTGCACTTGGAGCTGTGTTGATGGAGCTAGAATACATGCCCTTTCGCTCCAGCTGATCTGCTGATCACAGGCTAATAGGCACAATGCAACTGCATGTCAAGCTTGCTGATGTTAGCCACCAATTTAAAACATCAGTCAAGATACATTATAAAAACTCAAAGAAAAATAATTCAGTTTCAATCCCCATGCTCTGATAATTTGTATTACAATTAATTTATTTTATTAAAAAAAACTTATTAGGCTCTAATTAAATTTTACAGCAGAGACCTGTCCCACCGCCTTCATGATGAATTGTTGTATTCTGCTCTTAGTTTTATTGTGTGAATTTGAATGCAGTTATCTGAACTTTTTCACTGTAATTGGAACTGTTTTATGGTGTTTCATGCTTATTATTATTATTATTATTAGCTGCTTTGGGTTTATTTTATAAAGAAAAATAACCTCATAAAGCAGCTGGGCTGATTTGGATAAGGTCTTTGGTATGGCGAAGGGAATTCCAACGCTTCCCCTCCATCAGGAGCAGCCAGCATGACGAGGCCGCAGTGCCCCAGAGCTGCTCTCCCAACATGGGGAAGCCAAGCCGGTGCTTCCATCACTGAGCGTGTGCAGTGTTCCTGACCTTGCCACCCCCCTGCCGCACCCCATATCATTTGATGAGCACCAGCAACACTAGTGTCAGTAGGGCAGCTGCCAGCCACCCCAGCCATACACACACACACACCAGGGGCTTCTGCTTCCTGTATGTTATGGTCCAAGTCTTTCCCATGGAGCTGCTATTAGCCATGGAAAGGAAAATATACAGGCATAGAATGTGTGCCTACATATATTTGCCTCCATTGCTCATAGTCTGCTCCTGTGCCCCAAGGGCACTCATAGGAATGTCACAACACAAGAAAGAGGAAATCAGAAAGCAAAATCCACACATTAAAAACACCAGTATAAATAAAACTAAAAAGCAGTCATATAAAGCTACTGGAGAGAAACATCAGTAGTAAAGTTTTAAACATTACAAATCTGTCAAATGAAAAGTGTTCTCTGTAGAAACTGGCCAGAGATGGAGCCTATTGGCTCCACATAGAGGATATTCCAGAGCTGTAGTGCCACCACTGAAAAGGCATTAACTCTTGTCCTTAGATACCTAGTGGCCTAACACATAAAACAAGCCCTCAGAAGTTGATCTTAAGACCCAGGTAATCTATACGGCAGGTGGTGCTCCTTCAGGTAGCCAGAAAATAGCAGCTTCAGCAATGTGAGGCTGTAGAACCCCACTTCCCACTCAGAAGCCCCAACCCAAATCACATGCACACACCTCTCTGTGTCATTTTCATGCACAGCTGCTGCTTTTAGAAGAAAATTGCAGTGGGAAAGCCAATCAGTTTAGAAATCAGGATTTCATGAGACAATTTCTTTAAGAATAAACTTTCTCTCAATTTGCTTCTTTGTCTGTCTTATAGTTAGTAGCCAAGATACCAACTATCACTGCACTTTGCAACTTGCACGGAGAAAAACTGCAGGTATTTAAACAATCTCATCCCGATATAGTGAATACACTGTTTCCTCCGTTATACAAGGAACTGTTCAATCCAGACTCTGCCACTGGCTGCAAGTGAAGGCAAAGCTAGAATATTTCATGGAATGCATCACTCTTCAGACAAAAGAATTGTTTTCATGGAGACTTTCTTAAATATGTCACTACTGCAACACTAGGAATGTCCTGCACTTAATAGAATTATTTTTCACCGCTACAGTTTGAAGAATGTAAATATGCACCTCTGAGTGGGGCCTGTTTTTGTTTCTCTTCTTTTTCCCTTTATGTTAATTTTCCCCTTCTTTTTGTTTTGTTTTGTTTATTTTTAACTTACCAGAAATTTGCAAATATAGAACACTGGGTGTTACCTTTATTTTTGATTTTATTTTATTGGGGGCTTTGTTTTTGGGAGACAAACTGTTTATAGAAGTTTATTGTAGATATAAATGAAAACAGAGGAGTACTTTGCGGTATTACTCTTGCTGTTTATTGTTCAAATATAATTTAAGAAATTTCCACTAAACTAGGCTTACCTATTTCTATGTTTTTAGCTAGTTAAATGCATGTGGCAATATGTGGCTGTCTTGGAAATAGGTGTGTGTGTGTGTGTGTAGGTGTATATATATATATATGGGCATGAGCCTTTCCTGCCTGGATGCCGTGTGGGTGCATGGAGGATACCTCAGGGGGCTTAAAAGAGCTCTGTTTCAACCCTCTCCTCAGCTGGTGTTCCTGGCCCTGTGCGTGCAGCATTCTAGAGGAATCTGGGCAATGGGTGGTCTCTATGTGCCTCCCATACCCCCGTCTGAGCTTACATGAACAAGCTTTAGGGACTTCCCATTCTCTGTAAATTTCCATTATGCTCTGCACAAACTGAGAGGAATAAGTGAAAACAGGGCTCCCTTATGCCCTTTGGGGATCTTTTAACACATGGGCAAGGATCATGTCCTGTGTGTATACATACATGGATAGTATATACCAGGGATGGATGGCTTTGACATTCTCTATCCTTAAAACAGCAGTCAGGTGCCAGAAGTCTATTTTGCTGCACATCTCTACTTCACCATGCTGGGCGGCTAAGCTCCAATATGCCCAAGAGAGATGAAGTGTTTAAAAAGCATTAACACACATAAAATCAACATTTCTTTTCCTACAAATAAAACTACAGGCAAAGTTTAACCACAACTTGATTCAAATTTGGTAGCAACCCCAGACTCAGGATGAAATTGGTTAATGAATCACCAGATAGCCATCCCTGCTATATACCAATATAGTACATATATACACACACATATATGGAATACGCAAACACTTGCTGTAGCTTAAAAGATGCCTATTTTCTAGGGACGCTCTTCTGCATTTTTAACTCTTCATGTAATGTGCTAGTTTTATGTTGGGCAATTAGGATTTTGCTCTGCCATCCACCCATGTATAATGACAAGATGGTACCTTTTCTGATCAGTTTGTATATAATGTGAATGCAGTACGCAGTCAGTGAATGAAAAGTCAGGTTAGTATTATGGTGCCAAAGCCTTGTCTGGATAATTCAAATGGACAGAGAAAAAGTTATTGGGAGATCCCCCCCCCCCGTGATAAAACATATATTAAACCTAATATTATAGGACACAATGCCAATAGAGTATTTAAACCACAGAGTAAAATGTAGACTTGTCCAAAACAGTTTTTTGTGAATCAGAAAGAGTTTATTTTATTAACACATCGTCAAACAAAAATCATCACTATTGCTCTGATATTCCCCAAGGGTGATGGAGCAGCCCAGTGATGTAACTCTGAAGGAGTAAAGTAAAAGTTACAAGAGCAAACAACCTGTTATCATCCACTAAGGTATTATTGTGAGGCTGTGAGGTGAAAGTGGAGGCTTTCCATCTGCATACCCATTGTTGAATGCAATTTTAATATCCCAGTGTCTGGATCAACAGCTGTTTTCACTAGTTCATTTCAAATCCAGGGCTTTCATTGCTCAACTGGTATGTCTAAACAATACAGGAGTGCTAGTTCAACCCATTGAAGCACCTAACATTAATGCCCCTGATCTCTGAACCATGAATCCTCAAGCCACAGAGCTTCTACATAACATTCCACCAGCATCTAAGAGATTTCATATGAAACCTATCCCCTACTCCCCAACCCCTACGGTTGTAGATGTGTTAAGAATTGCAAGGGCAGAGCCATTCCAAGAGCAGATGTCTCTCAACTGTACACTGGATCCAATCTCTCTTAGCAGTCTTCTTCAAAGCTGCATCTTAGATGCCTTGGGCATGTGTTGTCCTTCAACAGCTCAGGACACAAGAATCCATGTATAAACCTTGCCATCTCTGCAACATATTTGTGGTCTTCTAAAACTGCCCTGGCCCACCTTCCAAACCTCCTGGAAGCCTGCTAGATACTATAGAATGTATCCTCTCTTGCCTTTCTTCTGCAACCCATTATGTTCCACCTTCTACTGCCTCTTTTCTATGACACAAATATATTCTTTATACCCTCTGACAACAATGGCCCATAGCAATCACATCAGACTTGGGATAAGCTTTTTTAAAGTCCATACTGTACTATATGCAGCTCCTAATTTTATTGAAATCTGTTCTCTGCATTCCAGACTTTAGTTTGGAAAAGCACAGCTGTAAAAAAAAAAAGTAGAATGAGTTTTTTGGTGGTGGTGGTGATTTAAGCCAGTACCCCATTTTCCAAAATAGCAACACATTAACTGACATACGCAAATTCACTTTCATTTCCTAAATTAATTTGCTGTGCCACCTAGAGATTCCAACGTAATTTACAAATGTTTGTCCTTTGTTGTAAATGAGAACAAAATCATTAAATGCCTGACCTACATTAGAACTAATGAAGATCTTGCACTCTATTTCATGGAATCATAGAACTGTAGAGTTGGAAGGGACCCTAAGGGTCATCTAGTCCAACCCCCTGGAATGCATGAATCTCAGCTAAAGCATGCATGACAGATGGCCATCCAACCTCTGCTTCAAAACCTCCAGGGAAGGAGAGTCCACAACACTCCATTGGAGACTGTTCCACTGCCGAACAGCTCATACTGTCAGAAAGTTCTTCCTAATGTTTAGTCAGAATCTCCTTTTTTGTAACTTGAATCCATTGGTTAAGGGCCTAGGCTTCATAGCAGGAGAAAACAAGCTTGCTCCATCCTCCATGTGAAAGCCCTTGAGATATTTGAAGATGATGTTTCCACTCAGTCTCCTCTTTATCAGACTAAACATACCCAACTCCCTCAATCATTCCTCATAAGAATTGGTTTCCAGACCCTTAAAGCATCTTGGTCGCCCTTCTCTGAACACTTCCCAGCTTCCCAGTGTCCTTATTAAATTGTGTTCTGACATTACTTCCCTTGATCTGGACACTATACTTCTGTTGATGCAGCCTAGAATAGCATTGGCTATTTTTGCAGCTGCATCACACTATTGACTCATGTTCAACTAAGACCCCTAAATCCTTTTCACATGTACTACTAGCACACCAGGTCCCACTCCCCCGCCCCCGGTGTAACTGTAGAACCTTTCATTTGTCCCTATTGAAATTTATTTTGTTAGTTTGGGCCCAGTTCTCCAATCTGTTAATGTCATCTTGAATTCTGATTCTGTCTTCTGTGGCATTGCCACCCCTCCCAGTTTGGATGAATACCTTCATCCAAGTTGTTTATAAAGACGTTGAACAACAATTGTCTCAGGGCAGAGCCCTGCAGCACCCCACTTGTCAGGTTTTTTCCAGGATGATGAGGAACTGTTAGGAAGTATTCTAGGTCTGATCAGTCAACCAGCTACAAATTCACCTAACAATTAACTCCCACATTTTACCAGCTTCACCACAAGAATATCAAGGGGGACTTTGTCAAAACCTGATGGAAATCAAGATACACTACATCCACCGCATTCCTCTGATCCACCAAGCTTGTAACTCTATGAGAGAGAGAGAGAGAGAGAGAGAGAGAGAGAGAGAGAGAGAGATTTGTCTGGCACGGGGGGAACCCATGCTGGATGATAGTAATCACAGCATCCTTTTCTAAGTGCTTATAGACTGACTGCTTAATTATCTGTTCCAGGACCTTTTCTGGTATTGACATAAAGCTGACCGGACCCAGTAGTTAGCTGGGTCTTCTCTTCCCCACCACCACCACTTTTTGAAGATGGAAACAACATTTTCCCACCTCTAGTCCATAGGCACTTCTCTTGTTTTCCATGAATTATAGACAGAGGCTCTGAGATTACATCCTCAAGCTCCTTTAGTAGCCTTGGGTGAAGACAGAGGTGAAGTAAGTGTTGAGCAGTTCTGCCTTCTCTCTGTCACACAGTAGCATTTCTTCATCTTCTGAACGCAAGGGACATACTATTACTTGTTCTTCCTCTTGCTTCAAACATAGCTGAAGAAACCTTTTCTTTTCTTATTAACCTCTCTTGCAAGCCTGAGATCATTCTGAGCTTTGGCCTTCCTGCAGCTTCTCCCTGCAGCTGTTGGCAACTCATGTTTACAGTGGTGTAGCATTGGGGGGGGCACAGGGGCTGTAGCCCTGGGTGCAAAATTGTTGGGGGCACAGAATTTCAACATCCGGTGCTGCCTCAATACAGCTCATGCTTCTGGTGCTGGGCTTCTCCATGCGAACCAGGAAGCGACCTCTCCAGATAACGGAATGAATTTCATTTTCTTATCTCTGCAGCTGCAATCTCCTGGTGAGACGGATGCCATTAGGCAATTGAATGTGCATGCGCACTCTGTCCTTTTCCCTCCCACTCATCTGCTCCTCCGCACTGGCAACCCACATTGTGTGTGTACCCTTCCTTCATGATTTCCCCTTCCTTCCATTTCTTTATACATGCCTTTCTTACATCACATCTCAATAGCTGCAGTCTCCTGTCTCAGTAGATGCAGTCTCCTGAAAGTGGAATTATTTTGAAGTATATATATATAAAAAATCCAATGATGTTTAGAATCATTAACCAAACCAGGATCAGATCTTCCACTTCCCACCCCATCACCACAGGCTATGTCCCTCCAAGTGGCTCTGGGTGTCACATTGCCATATTTCCTTCTGCCCCT